TTATGAATGCAACGTATGCCACTGATTAAGTCCGCGATAAATATTGATATTTTTTTGACTTTGAAAACACGGGGTATATATATAAACGGGGTACCTAAATTTTGAACATTTCGATAAAAAAGCGTAGGGTTCCCCGCTAAGAAGTGAAACAAATTTAAAAACATGAAGGAGCTTTATATTAACTGGTCATGCCTATCGGTTACCCCTTTCAGCACCAAATATATCGCTTGTCCAAGATTAAATTAGCATGGTTTGTACGGGTGGAAACCCAACTCTTCTCGCATACACCGCCCCAACATATTTATGTCTCCACTGGACGCCGCTATGTCTGCGGACTTAGAAGCTAAATGCTCTCAAACCACTCTATTGTACACTTAGGCAAAATGAACTAGCAAATTAAATCCTTTTGCAATCTTCCATGGAATTTTTCGAAAACTTCAGGTAATCTGCCGATTACTTTTTCTGCTAGTTTTCTAGATTCGATTGTATGTGAAAAGAGATGTTCATTAGGTCTCATGATTTCACCAGGATTAAGGATCGAGGAATCAATGTAATGACAAGCATACATTGAAGAAGCAAAACGGGTTCCTGTACCATGTACTATCATGAAATCTGCTAATTTAGACTTTTCATCTAGACTAGGATTCCATTTTAAGTACTCCAACATCAGTCTTACGAAAACCTTCAGTAATTCTTCTTTCGAAGAGTATGATGTAGCATAGACCACCATTTTTGACAATTTGTCAGAATAAACAGGGCTATTGTAGTGACGCATCAGGGACCTTGTTAACAATGCGGATTCTTTCGTCTCCCAAGGTTTTGTCTGGAGCATCATTCCATCAGACTCTACGATCTGTCGTTTAGAATCAAAGACAGTTCTGAATCTTCGTAATGAAGACATAAAGGAGACTTGTTCCAAGTCTCTGGCACCACTTAACCTTTTCTGTAAGAAGTAGATTTTGTTATTTGTAGCCATAGCTTTAGTAACTCTATCCACGATCTTCTCGTGAGGAAAGTGGTATTTCTGGAAACCTGTCATAGCTGATATAGGAATTTCGTCATTTTCCAAAGAAGGATCAGAATGATTAACTGAAAGCTGACCTCTTGTAGACCATTGTATTAATCCTAAAGTTTTAGTCTTTATTTCAAGAGCGTTAGGATCTTTTCCATTAGTCAGCATATTTCTGGATCTTCTATAATCTAGTAGGAATGAATCATCGATACCATTTTCTTCATAGTATTCAAGGATCTTTTCCTCCAGTTCGGGAATATCACAAGTGAAACCATCAGTTGTACAAGCAGAAACTTTACCGCCGAGTATGTCAATCATATGCAATAACTCTGCAATCAGAGCTCGCACTAGACCTGTTATCCAAGTTCCGAGAATCGGATTGGATAAAGAACCACCAATCATGGACTTCATAAAACCAGTTCGCGAATCGAAGTTACGTTTGTTTGAGATACCACACACGGATTTTCCGTATATCATATTACCCAAATCTTTGTAAACACGTTCACGAGCAGAACCTTTCCCATCAGAAGCTTTATATTGAGCTCTTTGAATTTGTAATTCACGGATTGTAGAAAGGTATGGTTGGTATGAAAGCTCATCACCATCTCGTCTGAAAGGAATGTAGCTACCTGTAATAACCTCAACGAAATAAATTTCCCTTAGGGAGTCTATCGTTTCATTGTTATATGATGCTATTTTCAATAATGCGCTTTCAAGAATCTTGTTAGCAATTAAGAATTCAGCACCAGTTACAATCGACACACCACTTAAAGGATAAACAGTTATCGTCTTGTCTAAATATACAGGTAGAGGCGGAAACTTCACAGTATCAGGGAATTTGAATCTGACCTTAAGAGCCGAATATGATTGTTTTCAATCATAGAGACTAAGGTCAGAATAAGGGTGAATTACGCGGGCTTTATTATAATCAGGATGACCTAACATACTTAATGGGATTTCCATATCTTCAATACGTTCGTCGTCCATAGATTCTTCATAAACGGGGTCTCCGTTACCCGACATAATCGTTGCATAACAAGATGCAAGGTCATAATCAAACCATTTAGTATCTCTATCGATACCGTATAAAAAGCATTCATTACGACCACCTCTAAAGCTTGCAATATACAAGTTTTCATTTTCCGCGGCGAAACCGATTGAGTTAATTCCTTTAGGAGTATGACTGGACTGAGCATGTCCAAGTAGGAATTCGCCATTCGGCTGATGTCCATTATACCCATCTAAATATCATTTATTTTTCAAGTATTTTGAACATACAGCACCAAGCGTAATAGGCAATTTAGTGTCACCTAAAGAAAACATAAAATCACTCATGAAAAGTGCATGGATCAAGGTTATAAGTGAATCTTGCATTGCATATGCCTTAAATCTATCAAAATCTTGATCATAAAGCAATTTCATATTAGTCACGTATTCATGTTCCAAGGCAAGTTTCTGCATTTTATGCCCTTTGGCCACTAGAGCAAGTGAAGAAGCAGTAGCAGAAGATAAGAGAATTGTATCTCTTATATAGATGGATCTGTTTCCATAACGCGCAAAAGCCTTAGAAATCGAAACAAAAGACTTTTTCAAAATATCCACATTACGATCTGAAACCAACTTCCAATCATGTAGCATAGTTAGATCAGCCGCGTTATAATGTGCACAAAGGAAGATATTAGAAGCAAAAGAAAGATAGGGAGGGAACTTCTTTTCTTCTTTTCTTTTTTTCCTGTTATAAATATAGCTATTGATCATTTTCCCTTTTATATTTAGTGCGCCTTTTATATTTAGTGCGGAATTTTCTTCTTTTTCTTTTTCTTTTTCGACTTTTTCTTTAAATTTTGCATCTTGTTCATTATCCAATCTAATAGTTTCTACTATTCTTCTTTCCAAAGTATCGCCATTCCAACTATCTACTTTTCGACTTTTAAATTTCGAATCTTGAAAGGTGGTTTTTGGTGTAATGTTACAAATTATGCGTATTATATCAGGAGGTAATTCTTTTCCTACAGCTAGTTCTACCAACGTATTAAAACTTATTCTAAGTTTTTCTTTTTCAGCTGGTATTACAAAAAGTCCACGTATAGGTTCTTTTTTAAGCTGTATAAGAACATGATCCGACTGCACACTCACTATATCCCATTGCTCTGCTCTTTCTAAGAAATACTGCTTAATCCCGTTTAAATAACGATCATAATGTCCATATTTCATAAGTCGAGTAAGTTGTATAGTGCTGTGGATATAATACTTAATCACCTCTAATTCCTTAAAGGCAGGATCCTTGGCTTTGTAGCTAGCAGAAGTCACGGTGTTTAGTGTCTCAAAGATGTATTTTTGTTGTATAGGGATCTTGATTTTCACTACCTTACATGTGCTTAGCTGAGCAGACAAAAGCTCGTTTTCAAACCATTCATTTTGCACGTACTCTGTATCAAATCCTACAATTACATCCTCGACAATTTTAACTTGTCGTTTTGTTAAATGTTTCTTGAAGGAATTGTCTACACTGCTGTACGCCCAGGATTCATAAACCGTAAATCGTGATTTTATATCACGATAGATAGCACCAATACCCTCTGCAGTATCATCTTCTTTAGGGAAATATTCACCTACCTGAATCATACGCTGTCTTTTTGCGTAGAACTGATCTAGTGCTAATTCCGTAAACTTAGCTATCTTAAGTAGGGATTTATTCGCTAAAAAGAGCAAGTTCAGCGTGATTAATGAATTTAATCATTTATAAATGGCTATTTGTTCATAAGAGCTCATTTTACAGTGCTGCTCTTCTGTCAATAGCATCTTTGCTAAACTACTAATGAAAGGGTACACGCTACTATCGAAGATATTTGTCGTCTGAACAAATCCCTTTCTCGTGTTTATGTCCTCTAGTTCTTGCTTTGCCTTTTTTAACTTATTCCAAAGCGGTTCCATTTCTTCGACTGAAGTGATTTCCTCTCAGTGAACATTGAATTCTGGAATTACCGCCTGAAATCTACAAAGCTTTAAGAACGAGGAGAATGGACCCTGATCGGCATTACAAAACTACAGCTTCCTTAGCTTCCTTAACTTCCAAAATTGCATTGGATGAAGGAGATGTTTCGACGTTTTCGTCTACATCACGTAGGTCCATAATGCTACTCTCGCGACGATGAACAGGTTTTTCTATTACTAGAAATCCCAGTTCGTTTCTAGGACCTATATCCAGAGAAATTCCTACCTCGTCTTCTTCTTCCCAGTAGGTTTTACAATTCCCAAGAAGGATGTTCAATTTTCTAGTAGATTCCTCTACCTGAACTGTTAGCATGTTATATGCTTTGGCTATTGTTCTATATTCAATAGCTCTTGATATATCCATTACCCACAGTGCAAAGAAATGAATGTCATCCGCCTTGTTATCCAAGTACTCCTCAATGCTACTAATATACTTTGCAGTATCTTCAAACATAGCATCGATATAGCCATCTTCTATATCTTCAGGAGTAGGAGCAGCAGGAGCAGCAGGAGCAGGCACCTCCACAATCACTTCCTTAATCACTTCTTTGATTATAGGTTCTTGTGGAACTATAGCAGGGGCAATGGGGGCAACGGGAGCAACGACTGCAGGACTTATTCGTCCTTCGTTAGCTGCAACTAATCGCTCCAGAAGTTGGTTTATTCGCTTTTCATAAGCTACTTCCATCTTCAGAAGCTGATTTTCCATGCGCAATTTTTCTAATTCTAATCTAGAATCATCACGCACAGTCGTAGTTGCAGGAGCGGGAGCGACAGGAGCGATCACAGGAGCTACACGTTCTTTCACGGCAGCTTTCACAGGAGCGGGAGCGACAGGAGTGGGAGCGGGAGCGACAGTAGCTTTAAGTACTTTAACCTCTTTCACAAAAGGTTCTTTGACAACCGATTCTTTCATCGGCGAAACCGCTTTTGGAGTGTAAAGTTTTCTAGCAGCTGCTAAAATGTCCACAGTTCCATTAAAGCTTTGTTCCTTGTCTACCCAGAAGAATGAAAATTTCATTCCATTTCTTCCCTTTTTAACAAGAGGCCAAGACGGTTTGCTTTCAAGCCAGTTTTTTCGACTGTACTTGTATTGCCAGTTCTTTCCATTGTTTTTCGAAAGAACACTTGCCAAAATGTACCCTGATCCGCCTAAAAATTCCATAATGTTTATAAATTCCATTTTTTGTTTTTATTTATATACGCGTTATGAGCTACGCGCCAAACTTTATCTGGTGTTCGGAACTTTTTTGTGAAAAAAGCTGCCTAAAAAACTTTTGTCCTGGCTAAAATGCCCCGACTTTTATATAGTTGCATACTTTTTGAGAAAAAGTACACGGAAAAACGACAGTTTTGTTAAAGCCCCTTTTTGTAAAAAAGTTGCCAGAAAAACTTCCTGAACCGCCTAAACCGCCTAAAATGTACAAATACGTAAGTACCGCGTCGCTTGTTTCGTACTCCTGTCTTGATTCTCCTAAAAGACGATGCCCTTTCACCTACTCAACAGTTCCTGAAACAAATCCGGTATTTCCCATACTGTATCCCGCTTCTAATAGTATGCCTCTATTTACGAAACGTAAGCTAAGATTCCCTCTCGGTACTATTAAGCTTGCACTCTTTCCAGAGTGACTAAATTTTCATACTTCACAAAAAGGCCTTTTTGATCCGCGTTAAAAACTTT